CACACACACCAAGTTTTCTCCCTTAACACAACCTGCTTTTCTGGGAATTAAACTCAGGGGAACTTTGCCACTGAGCTACTTTCCCAGCCCTCACCAAACTGCTGAAGCTGGCCTTGAATTTGTGATCCTCCTGCCTCAGCCTCCAGGCTCTGGGTGAGCTAAGAGCTTATAATGCTAAGGGCTGCAAAAAAAGATTCCAAAGTGCTGGAAATCTTAGGTTCACATTGTGCAAAAGTGGCAGGGAAAATTGTCTTAATTATCTTGTGCCATGTAGCAGATTACTCCCAAGCTCAATGTGCAGTACAATAACATTGTTTCAAGGTTTCTGTAGACCAGATGTCCAGCCATGGCTTATCTGGGTCCTGTGCTTCAGGGGTTCTTCCAGGCTGTAGCTGAAATGGTGGCCAGGGTTGCAATCAAACAGACCAAACCACATTCACTCACACAGTTGTTGGCAGGATTCAGTTCACAGGCTATTGGCCAGAGGCCAACCTTGATTCTGAGTCTTGACTAAGCTGGTCACAACCCAGCAGCTTGCTGCATAATAGCAAAGGAGAGTTCATTCAAGCCAGACAGAAGGCGACTTTATAACCCACTCTCAAAAGCGACCTCCCATCACTTTTACCATATCCCATTTATGAAAAATAGATTACATTTATTAAAAATCTGTTCACAAACAAGAAAAGAGGAGAGGGAGTGAATACCAGAGAATGGACATCACTTTGATCCATTTTAGAAGCAGCTTCCTGAAGACACAATCGCAAAACTCAGCCAACAGCAAGAAAATATCAATCAAGAAGTCAGATGCAGGGACCCACCCATACAGTCCCAATTATTGAGCGTCTCAAGTGTGAAATTCCATCTCAAAACAAAACAAAAGCCAGGATAGGTGGTGCAGGCCTGTAATCCCAGAGGCTCAGGAAACTGAGGCATGAGGATCACAAGTTCAAAGCCAGCTTCTGTAATTTAGTAAGGCACTAAGCAACTCAGTGAGATCCTGTCTCTAAATAAAATACAAAATAAGGCTGGAGATGTGGTTCAGTGGTTGAGTGTGCCTGAGTTCAATCCCCCCTTACCAAATCAAACAAACAACAAAACAAAAAAATACATATTGGGCTGGGGATGCAGCTCAATGGTAGGGTGCTTGCCTTGCACATATGTGGCCCTAGATTCAATGTCCAGTATAGAAAAAATAATACACATACACACAC